GCCAAGCAGGTGATAATACGCTAAGGTTTGTGTGCTAGCCATTAAGTATCGACCGGTGGCGCCATCCGGGTGTCCGGCCAAGACGCGGAAACGCTACACGTGTGGTGCCAGTTTTACCATTGTAAGGGGTTGCATTGGGCGCTGATGGGTTGCTGGTTAGGCCTGTGGTCTAGTGGCGTAGTGTAGTTGGTTGGTGTAGGCTATCGGTCAACGTTTACCGGGGGGGTTGGCATACGTTATACGATGCCGCCTAAGGGTGTGCGAGGGAAGCGACAGGCTGGCGTAGGTGTCCAGACACGGGGTGGTGGTGCGGCGGAGACTAGTATGACTCCGCCAGTGACTCCTTCTCCACGTAAAGGGCGGGAATTAATGAGATTATGGCACTGGGGCACGTGCTTATTGGTCGCCGTCGGTGGCTCGGGCTACTGTTACCCCTGCTCCACGCACCGTGCGTGCTTCAGACTGGGGAAATAGAGATCAGTTTTCTGCTAGCAGGGGGCGTGCAGAGGTGATGGAGGGGTTCGGGCATCAGGAGGGTGGCCCAGATTTTGCTCATCGGAGGGTTGGTCGGCTGACTAGCTCTGTGAAGGGGGGAGGGGTGAATTTCGCGCCTCCTTTCGTGAGGGAATCTGAGGGGTTCCCTCTAAGAGCTGGTGGGAGTAAAATTAAGGTAAAGTCCTTCTCGGGTAAGGATGGAATTCCTTTGGAGGGCTTTCTCTGCCAATTTGATCTGATTTGCAGACTCAATGGGTGGAGCGGTGAGGAGAGGTTGATGCGGTTGGTAGGGGCCCTTGAGTGGCCAGCGTCCGCCATTTTGGAAGATTGCGATGACGGCGTTGACGAACTCATGATTCGTCGGGCTTTGACTGCACGGTTTCAGCCTTTAGGTAGTGCACTGGAGCGTCGCGCGGCTCTCCGTGACTACGTTCGCCAGCCAGGCCAGAGTTGGCAGGAGTATGCGCGTGAGGTTAAGAGGTTGACAATTAGGGTGCAACCTTTCCTCTCGTCGGAGCAGGCTAGCGAACAAGCGCGGTGTCGATTGCTGGAAGTAATGCATTTGTTCATTGCCTTGAAAACTTATGTCATGTCTCGAAATTATTTGACTGTGGAGGGGTCAGCGGTATTGGCGGATGAATACGAAGCAGAAATGGGTGAATTTGCTGTTCCGTTTCGCAAGCCAGCCGTGCGGCCAGCTGGTGTATCTTGAGCCTCTGATTCGGTTTCTGGGTCAGGGGTAGGTCTCGCTGGGTCGGGCGTGGCTAGATTGTGCCGAGATGACTTGCAGGTGGCTCGTATGGTACGCGATATGATGTGTGGTCAAGAGAGTGACCGGCAGGGGCGTACTGAATCGCAGCGGGTCTGTCCTAGTTATCAGCGCTCGCAGGTTCCGGCTCGGCAGGCTGGTAACTTCGAGTGTTGGGTATGTGGTAGACGGAGGCATGTTGCGCGTTTTTGTCCACAGCGGGCTCGTGAGGATTTCCGGGACGGCCCCA